AGTAGATAAAGTTACATTATTGTCCTTGGTAGTTTATTGAAAGATTATTCTTTGGCACAACAACAAATATTGCCATGGCCTCTAGGACTAGCTTGGCATGAGTAAATGGTAAACGGTGGAAAGTCAGGCGGTCCACATTGAGTCTTACAATCTCTTGGTCTTTTACACGGACCTCTAAAGACGCACGATGAAGGCTGAATAACATTCTCCCTTACATCTATAATATACAAAAAAAAAATATGAGAAATATGATTCTTGATTTTAGATGTGACTAGATAAAGGATCTTATTACCTTTTGATTGGGAAGTAACTAGGACACAACAGATGACGAGGATGACTATTAGTCGAAGCTTTGACAATGCCATTTTGTTGGTATGATGTAAAATTCAGTGATCAAATTTTTTGTATTATTTTTGGTGTGAAGAAAGTAAAGAGCAAGTACATGGCTATATCTAAGTTTGAAAGTCACTTAAATATCGAAATTGTTTATTGTGTTCATTTGTTGTGTGATTTCTGTCTATATTAAGTGAGGTCAAATCTTCGTAAAAGTAGCCAAATATTTCCTATCAAAAGAAACCATATATATGGTCAAATCTTCAAGAACTATTGCCGAATCGTTCGATTTTTTCATAAAAAGGAAAATCTGTTATGAAATGAGTGTAATTCTTAAGATGCAATTCTTATCCTTATTGTGTTATACTTGTTATTACATCTTCTCTACTTGTCATTACACATCTACTACACTCTTTTACTTGGGATTTGTGTTATTCTGCATTAATTCGGCTTGTTCTCTGTTTTGCTTCCCTCACAATTGGCCTATGCAATAACTTGATGTCAATAACACGTCTTGAATTATTTTGCTACATGTAATATGAAAATTAATATCAAATGAAGACGTGCTTCTATTTATCGACAGTATCTTCCATTTCGTACTAGCAGGATTCGAGGTATCCACTTTATTGGGTATAATGCCTTCTGGTGTGGGTTGAAACAAAGAGGGATGGATGATGGTCATCAGAGACCCGCGCTTGGGTCTTCAGAGTTTGCTGCTACAACTCCAATTTCTCTGTTGGAGTTTGCTTCTTCTTCCGGGAAAGCAACTGAGTCGCCATTTAAGCCGTCAACAATCTCGTCAATCTTCTTAAACTGGTATGGCCACTTGCTGTTGTACAGAAACTGCCTCAGATCGAATCTGTTGTCCTCTGGAGAGTAACTCTGCAACCAAAACCCCAATGAGTTTTTTTTTTTATCTCTCTCTCAAGACAGATTCAAATAAGCAAGTACCTCAGCGTGATAAGACGGTGTGAGGACAGTCATTTTGTGTCGATTGATCGAATAATATTTGAAGAAATACTTCACTTTCTCAGCTACTTCTGCTGGGCTTAGCTTTGTTCCCCACTTGTAACATAGATTCTGCAGAATCACAGAAGAGCTTCAGTTTCAGTGTATCATGATTTAGTAACATTTGTGGCTAGCTTTCAGATAATCAAACCTTGAACATAGAAACTGGTCCACAACGGAATATCTTCCTCATCCTTCCATAGACTGAAAGCTCTTCATATGTCATTCCCATGTCGACTTCATCAAGCTGTTTGCAAAACTCAAGATGTCTGAATTGATAACTTCGTTGACTTTATAGCTATAGACTCACAAATATTTTTGTTATTACCTGAGAATAGTCAGAACGAATGGGCTCAAGCTCAGCTGTTGGTGGAGCAGCTTCTATCTCTGCCAAGGATGGATATCCGAGATTCGTTGCAGCCCATTTTAAGAACAACCTCAAATCCATTTTACTGATACTTCCTATGGGATTTATGTCTGCTGAGCTGCAATCATACTGTTTCAATGAAGAGAATGAAAAATATTTATTAACAATCGATGGGATTTGAGATGTAGCAGCAAAAAGAGATTACTCCATTACCTTTGTCAGGTAACCACGAAGCCCTTCATCGACGTTGGAGCTGCCTAGAACAAGGTAAAAGCCTGGTTTGCTATGAACCCAAGGCAAGAGAGACGCTAACATAAATGCTAAAACCATTCTCATCCGGGCTTGAATGTTCTGCAACCCAAGGTTCTCAGCGTTTGATCCTCCATCAACCTAATACACAAAACCAACAACCATTTCCACAATTTGTTTGTTGTTCTTTTCTTCTTTTCTGGATGATCATATTTCGTTTGTTCCAACTGTTTGTCTAGGTAATTTATACTTTACCTTATACCGAGGTCGCTTCCCTGTAACCGTTTGAAATAAAGATAGAACCGCAGAGACAACACCATCTATGCAAACATCAAGATGCCAAGCACCGATCTCATCTGCCAGCTGCTTTGCACGCCTTTTTGTCTCCTCAGAACTGCAAATTTGAGATTTCAATATGGGGAAAAAAAATTTCATGTTTGCTACAAAGCCACAAAGCTGTGACGAAAAATCATATTCTCTTTACTCTTATTAACTAATTTACCTGTTTTCAGAACCCATAAAGACAGTGTAAAATATTCGTTTGGCAAACTCTTTGCTATCAGTAGGAAACTGTCCATTAGCATAATTCCCAATTCGGCTCGCATCAGCTTTTACTTGCTCATCTCCCTTTGCAATCTCTAAACAAGAAAGAAGATATACTCTGAGAGAACTCAATATCATGGAATTTCAACAAGTCAAAACACAGCTCAACATACATAGAAAAAAGTGCCAGTGCACCTTTAACAACAAGTTGGCACATGCAGCCAACAATAGCTGCCACGGAGGAGCTGTCTGCTCCGCCAGAAAGAGGAAGCAGAAATCCTGAAGCACCACTTCTTCTCAAATAGTCCCACATCCAGCAAGCGGGACCAAAGGCTATTTCTTCTTGTGGAGAGTGGTAAATGATCTACATTACTTATGTATATTAGGGTTGAAAATTTTGAATGTTAACTTAAGATCAAATACTTGAGGATGGAGAACCTTCTTCGGACTGCTTAGTGTCATTTTCAGGTTAAAGGACTGTGTCAGCCTACATGGTACGGCTACTGAAGACACTTTAACCTTGCAGCTTGCTTGTTCCTGAAAGCTACTTATAGATCCACGAAGACTAGCAACCTCTCTCGAGACAAATAAGCAAGATGATCCTAAGAACTTTTCATTTATATATCACGAAACAGGAGAAAGCAAAGCCAAAGGGTAACTGTTGGAATACCGCATCAAGATCTATTTGGGAAATGATGACCTCAACGTCCCTCAATGAGAATTGTGAGCCTTGAGCGACAACATCACCGTTTACAACAATGCATGCACATCCATCTGCACTTGGTTAAAAAGGAACAAATCTCACTCAAAATGTAGATAAAATTTACTCAAATATTCTAATTTCAATCCTTTAAGGTTTGTCAAACATACCGTAATATAAGCGGCTACCATCACATCCCTGTTGATTACTGTACATATACACCCCACCACGAGCATGAGTAGCCCCCATGAAAGCATTCAGACGAATATCTAGTTTCCTAAGTTGGTGATGACTCCCACTTGCATTCATAAATACTTCAACCCCATTCAATGCGAGCTCGGCATGAGGAGGAAGTGGACTAAAAAGTTCCTCACAGACTTCAGCTGCAACAGCCCTGGTAAGGAAATATAATTGATACCTTTAAAAATGGCAGAAAAAATCAGTGACGCCGTTGAAGCAGAAGCATTATATCCAAACTCACGTGTCGATAAACTGGATGTAACCATAACCAAAAGGGAGTGATTTCTGATCCAAAGCCTCTGAAATTTCAATTGGGAGCTGAAAGTCCTCTAGCTTTTCTCTCTGCTTCCAAGCCGTGAACCACCGTAGCTCCCTATAGTTTCCATCGTTTGCAAGCCACATTTTCGGTCGAATCATGATGATTCTTCTGTTCATACAGAGAACCTGACAATTATACCGCTCTGCTCCTTTAATAACAGGCATTCCTATGCTGCATAATATTCCATCCGTCCAATCACCAACCAGCAATTCCTTCAAACACTCCCACCTGAAAGAACATATTCACAGGAACATAAGAAAAATGAGTTAAACATGATTCCGAGAACCAAATTCAGAAGCAAAAAAAAAAAATTAATTCCATCATCTAAAGTGATAGTACCAAGTCATTCATCATCGAAATAGAAACTAAAAATAGAAGCATACGAATGAGTGACGGTGTCGAGCTCCAAGAAGTGATCCTCGCAGCCATAGCCAGTGACCTCGAGCTCAGGTCCAAGCCTGATGACAGCACCGGCGGCTTTTGCCTCAGCGATGGAAGTCTTGATATTCTTCATGTTGCTCTCGAATTCCATGGCCCATTGGTTCAAGTTACACGTAGCGACCTTCAACAGCCTCATCTTCGTCGCCGCCCAAATAGAAACACAAGCAGTATAATCTACATCAAGTAGTGTAAGAATCTAACTTTACAGAGGAAAAACAAAACTGAACAAGAAAAACAGCAAAAGAAGCATTGTTGATTCACGATTAAAAAGTTTCTCCATGAGAACAGAATCTGGTTAAATTAGTTAAAGGAACGAACTTTGTACTACTTTGCTTATACTAACGATTCAATTCAATTTTGACAGCCACAACAACACAATCTCTGTATTTTACAAGTTCTTCAAACGATCAGAGTTGCAATAAACTTTTACTAGTAAGAGTTTAAGACAAAGAGCGTCAATTCAATAAGGAAGAACTCGTCAACGCAACACCATTCAATGTGAATCAACTTCCAAAAGAAAGAGAAGGAAAAATTGGAGCTTACGTGAATGTGAGAAGAACCCAGAAGAATCAAAGTCGTGAAACTCAGAGATCGTGAAAATTGAAAAGCTATGAGATTCAAAACTCACAGAGTCCAAGTGATTGTGCTCGTGCAGATGAAATTCGGGCAGAACAGATTCTGACCGACCAAGAAGAACATTCGGTTTGAGAGGAACAATAATAAGAGATTGAGCGTGAAACGACTTCGTTTTACGATTACAAAACCTTAACTAAACGACATCGTTTAAGTTCCCCCTTTTGTCTCGTCTTCTTCATTTTAATATACGACGGCGACGGCGACGACGAAAAGGCGAATTAGTGAGATCGGAGGAGAAAAAATGGATCAATTCTCAGGAGGAGGAGGTAATTGGTCGATGATCCCAAACGTGCAGGCGCAGGGTAACTTCGGTACACCGACCAATCATGACCAGCAACTATTCCTCCAGCAACAACAGTTTCATCTTCAACAACAACAGACGCAGCAGCAACAACAACAATTCCAGCCACAACAACAAGAGATGCAACAATTTCAGCAATTCCAACAACAGCAACACTTCATTCAACAACAGCAATTCCAACAACAACAACGGTTGTTACAATCTCCTCCTCTTCAGACACAGTCGTTGCAATCGCCTCCGCCGCAACAGACGGTGGTTCATACGCCTCAATCTATGATGCATACACCGCAGCAACAACAACAGTTGGTTCAAACTCCGGTGCAGACTCCGCAACAGCATCAGTCTTTAGCTTCTCATTTCCATCTCTATCCGGTAAGAAACAAAAAAACAAATTGATGAAACTGGATTCTGTTGGGGTCTAATTTAGTTAGTAATAATGACGCAGATGGTGGAGAAATTAGCCGATGTGATCGAAAATGGAACCCGAGATCAGAATTCTGATGCACTGGTTTGTTAAAAAATCAAGTCGTCTTTAAGTGGTTTTGAGATTTCTAGGGTTCTTCTTGGATGATGTTGAAATTGTGAATTGTTGCAGGTGACTGAATTGAATAGCCATTTCGATAAGTGTCAACAGTTGTTGAATTCGATTTCAGGATCACTAGGATCTAAAACTATGGTATGATAACATTTTGGATCTCTGTATTGGTTCTGTTTCATCTTTTTGTGCTTATGGATCTCTCACTGTCTCTCTCTCTCTCTCTCTTTGTTTTATAGACTGTTGATGGCCAAAAGCGAAATGTTGAAGAAAGTGAGCAATTGCTTCAACAAAGAAGGTTAGCTAGATTGTTAGTATCATGTTTTATCTCATGAGATTGGTCTTGCTCTTACTTTTTGTGTTGTTAAATCTTTTCTTTTGGTCAGGGATTTGATTGTGGAGTATAGGAAATCTATTGAAGAGATTTTGAAGATGGAGCCTTAGTTCCCATTTTGCTTCTAAGATGTTTTGATTCAGCAATTGTTTTAGCTACTTGGGACCAATAATTGTTATCAATCTTGATTCACATAATAAGGAGAATGTGGTTTTCTTCAAGATAATTCTTTTTCATCAGATTACAAATAGATCACAATGCATCATGTGTTTTGTCTGCATCAAACCAAACAGCCGTGATTTTGATATAAGCCCAGGTAGTTGTTGAACATAGTCAGTGCTTATGTGATTTAGATTGAGATCAGAGTAGAAAAAGCATTGTAACCATTGAAAATTCAACCATTCTTAGATTCCACGCTGATCCTCCAATTATAAAACAAAACACCATTGAAGCCATATCTCATTAGTCTTTTTTAAAATAAAAACACTCACTTGTGTCCTAATAAAACACTCACATATAGAAAGGAACTTGTGGATCATACATAGATTGGGCAGAACACAACTTCACCTTTACCAGTAACTCCAAAGTCTACATTTACTGCATTCAACTCCGGCCATTGAAGGGGCTTTACGAATAAATGCTTTGACCATTTATGTTTCTCGCCATCCTCTAAAACAAGTAATAAAATCAAATTTCTCAGACCTAACGTCAAAGCAAACGATCACAGGTTGCATAGAGCTTGCTGCAGCATAATACAAAACACCATTGACGCATATCCCCTTAAGATAACGGTGAACATAATAATGTCTGAAACATTGGATCATAGTTTGCTTGGTTAAGTTAATATAATGTTGATTGGATCATACCCGATCGCGAAATAGTTTATTGACGCATGTACTTCCCTTGTCACTTTGGGTAAGGTTACATACTGCCCTGTGATGGGATTATAAATAAATAAAAACTGTGTCATTTTTTATCTTACGTTGATAACAGAGCAGTCCGTGGACAGAGCTAAGGATTTGATAGAAAACCGCAATGTTTTCTCTGCATCAAACAAAGTCAAAATCTTTGTCTACAAGACAACTTTTTCTATACTCTTGGCACTTGCAACATAACCAGCGGTTCTCGAGATACATATATGTATTCGAATCCCTCTGATCAACACCAATAGAGAGGTGAATGGAATTTAAAGATTGTTCTCCCATCTCAGCTGGCTTTCTCTAGTCATCTTTCGTGTTGTTGGAAACGCTGTCTGTTGAACACTGCTTCTTACTTACTCTGTTGGTTGTGTAACCTTGGATTAAGCTTGATGGCGGAAAATTCAACCATTCTAGTTAGACTCAACAACTGGGTTCGAAAGAAAATACCCGTCTGTGTGTTATCTCGTATGACAAACATGAAAGTTGTCTTTAAAATTATAAACTAAACAACTGCATCATAACCTGTTAGTATGTAGATGGGAAAGTAAACAGTGCTCTGAGGACTGAGGTTGCATACCTGGAAGAAAGTTTTGAAAAGAGGTTTGTTTCTTGTTCCTAATACTATGTATAAACACCTTATTTTAGATTTTTTTTTTAAAAAAAAAGACAAGCACTTGTATATATGTGAGAGAGCAAGTGCAAAGAGCACTCTGCTTCTCGAAAGCAATAACCCTAACAGCTAAAAAATAAGGAAAAATCTACACACCTGAGCAACTCTGTATTTATGGGTTCTTTCTTGACAAGAGTATTTGAAAAAATGGTTTAAGGCTTCGATAATAGCATTGTGAATTAGCAAGGATTTCAGAAACCCAAAATTATTGTGATTGTAGTTGAGATTTAGATTATAGAACAGATAAATAAGAAAGCACTTTGAATTATTATTGAAAAGGCCCCATATCATATGTTAAAAGAAAACAAGAAAGCATTGCCATACTTCTTGTTCAGAAGCTTCCACCGCGGAGACGGAGAACAAGGTGAAGAGTTGACTCTTTCTGGATGTTGTAATCCGCTAAAGTGCGACCATCTTCAAGTTGCTTCCCGGCAAAGATTAGCCTCTGCTGGTCCGGTGGGATCCCTTCTTTGTCCTGGATCTTTGCCTTCACATTGTCAATGGTATCAGAGCTTTCCACTTCAAGCGTGATGGTCTTTCCCGTCAAAGTCTTGACAAATATCTGCATCCCACCACGAAGACGCAGCACAAGGTGAAGTGTTGACTCCTTTTGGATGTTGTAATCTGCAAGAGTGCGACCATCCTCAAGCTGCTTGCCTGCAAAGATAAGTCTCTGTTGGTCTGTTGGGATCCCTTCCTTGTCTTGTATCTTGGCCTTCACGTTATCGATTGTGTCCGAGCTCTCAACCTCCAAAGTTATCGTCTTTCCGGTTAGGGTCTTGACGAAAATCTGCATCCCACCACGGAGTCTCAGCACGAGATGGAGGGTTGACTCCTTCTGGATGTTGTAATCAGCAAGATCGAGTGCGACCATCTTCGAGTTGCTTGCCTGCAAAGATGAGTCTCTGTTGGTCTGGTGGGATCCCTTCTTTGTCCTGAATCTTGGTCTTCAGGTTATCGATTGTGTCCGAGCTCTCAACTTCCAAAGTTATCGTCTTTCCGGTAAGAGTCTTGACAAAAATCTGCATACCACCACGGAGTCTCAGCACGAGATGGAGGGTCGACTCTTTCTGGATGTTGTAATCAGCAAGAGTGCGACCATCTTCGAGTTGCTTGCCTGCAAAGATGAGTCTCTGTTGGTCTGGTGGGATCCCTTCTTTGTCTTGTATCTTGGCCTTCACGTTATCGATTGTGTCTGAGCTCTCAACTTCCAAAGTTATGGTTTTGCCGGTAAGGGTCTTGACGAAAATCTGCATACCACCTCTCAGACGAAGCACGAGATGGAGAGTTGATTCTTTTTGGATGTTGTAATCTGCAAGCGTTCGACCATCCTCGAGCTGTTTACCAGCGAAGATTAGTCTCTGTTGATCCGGAGGGATTCCTTCCTTGTCTTGGATCTTAGCTTTAACGTTGTCAATGGTGTCTGAACTCTCGACTTCTAGGGTAATGGTTTTACCGGTGAGCGTCTTGATGAATATCTGCATACCACCTCTCAACCTGAGAGCCAAGTGGAGTATTGACTCCTTTTGGATACTGTAATCAGCCAAAGTACGTCCATCATCTAGCAGTTTACCGGAAAAGATGAGCCTTTGCTGGTCTAGAGGAATCCCTTCTATGTCCTGGATCTTTGCCTTGACATTATTGATGGTGTCGGAGCTTTCAACGTCAAGGGTTATGGTCTTTTCTGTTAGAGTCTTTGCGTAGATTTGCATCAACATCTTTACAACGAAAGAAAAGCAAGTAACAAAAGATCAAACGCAAAAATTGAGAGAGGAAGAAGAATTCAAGAAACTTTTGCAGCAAGATTAGGGTTTGCGAGAGATGTAGAATTGAATTATGAATTACAACTATGGTGAAAGGTCTTCTTATATAGAGACGAGAGAGGCTTACCGACTTTGATTATTAAAAGGAAAAGGTAGTCTTTTATTTTTCTTGTTCAATAGGAAAAGGTAAATCAAATATTATACATGGAAAATTGCTTATTCAGATGCTAATTAAAAGAAATAAAAAGGAAAATTGCTAAAAAGGAAAAGAGGAAAAATCTATCGTTGACTTTGGAAGACCGACTTAGCCGGAAGGTTCTAGGCGGTGAAGAATCTTGGTTGATAACGAGATAAGCCCAGGTAGATGTTGAATATAGTCAGTGATTTAGATTGAGAACAGAGTAAAACGAATTGTAACAATGGAAATATAAACTTCAGCTCGTGAGGAATGAGCATGGTCAAAACATGTTTAAAAGTATGTATGAGACTGACCTTTTAATGTCTTCCCTCGTCACAGGGTTCTAAATTTTGCAAAGGTAAGAAAGACATTTGTAAAAGTAAAACACAGTAAAAATAAAAATCATATTTATTCAATAGCTCTTTTAGTGGTTAAAAATAAATTTGGTTTCATGCTTGTAAAAAGCAAAATTTGTATATGTTAACCATTCTCCATAGCTTCATGAAAAAACACACTGACTTTGTGTCCCATCATTTTGAAATCTTTTATTACATAGTCTTGAACAAGTAAGACTGTATAATAACAAGAACATTCCTGTCAGAACCCAAAAGGTGAGTGTAGAATGCCACAATCATCTCCTCATCTCCTAGAGACCCGGGCCACATTGTCATAGGCCTTATTTTTAACATACTGCCTCATTTGGCTTATCTCTCCTTCTAGGGATAAGAACATTGCCCTCATCATCAAGCTCATCTTCCAAGCTACTCTTTATGCTATTTGGAAAGAGAGGAATCTGCGGATCCACTCCGGTAATTCGCGATCTTCGGGCCTCCTTGTAAAGGATATCCAACTCATTATTAGAGCTCGGCTTGATCATTTGTCTCGTGTACGGACTTCTTCTTCTCCGGCACTGTCTCTCCTTGGAACTTGGTTTTCTTTCTTTTAGCTCTCGGGAAATCTATTGTAATTTGTTCTTTGCTTTGCTCTGCCTTTTTTGTGTTTGCAGGGGGCGTTCTCCACTGTTAGGAGCTGCTGTTTTTTGTTTCTGGGCCATGTGGCCGTCATAGTCCACTGGGCTTGTAATGTTGTTATTTTAATGGAAAAAAAAAAAAAAAAAAGACTGTATAATAAAACACTTAATTACATAAGCTTCACATCCTCTACATAGTTTGGGAAGGTGTAAACTCTATACCCTTTAAGAAGTTCAAATCCTGGAATAACAACTCTTACTCTTACCATAGTGTTGCTCTCAAGATTGCCGTAAGAAATGTAGAAGGGATCTTCTTCTCCATATTTTGGGGACAAGACAATTTCCCCTCTACTAGTCACTCCAACAACGAATGCGAACCATACTTAGGTTTACCTCTGGGGTGAACCTTTAAATTCACCCAACAGATTATAGCCAATCGTTTTGTCATGTCATTACTAATACTAGAGAATTAAAAAAAACACACAATTAAAAAAAAAAGAAATCAGAAAATAGATTTAGGGTTTAGGGTTTAGGGTTTAGATTTTACAATTAAAACGAAATTAGATGTCGGTTTTGGTTGCCAAATGAGTGGTTAACGTTTAGATTTTATAATTAAACGAAATTAGATATCGGTTTGGGTTGACAAATGAGTGGTTAGGGTTTAAATTTTACAATTAAAACGAAATTATATATCTGTTTAGGTTTGTGAAATATTTGTTATATCCACCC